CCCCAAAACCCCAAAACCCCAAAACCCCAAAACCCCAAAACCCCTTAAATTAAGTGAATTTTGAGAAATAATAATTAATTTAATAAGTATATGCAGAAGAGATGGACCAACATAATACCACTTTCCATCATAAGACAAATAATAATACAAAGACTAACACCGCTACTAAAGCGGAACGAAAACGTGAGCAAAAAATGCGTGAAAAAGAGGCAGAAATGTTTACTACTTGCATTCAAGGTACCGCTAAGAAGGCTAACGCGGGCCAGGACAGCACTACTGAAGAAGAAGAGGAAGAAGAGACTGAAAAGGCGGCCACTGGAGCTAATACTGGTAAAACGGCTGCCAATACGATCTTTGGAAGGTTCAAGGTAACAGAAGAAATTGAGATCGGTAAATTCGAAACAACCTCCATGTCCCAGCATGCTGAGAGTGACAACTTCAGCTTGGGATCTGACGGACTTAATCCCGATACTACTCTGTCCAGTAATATCGGTGAGTTCATACCTGTTGGAGAGAGGCTTGCCTCTCTCTACAAAGGTACACTAATATCCAGGGAAACTCAGAATGGTAGAGGAGGAAGCAAAGGATTGAGGTTCAAATGTTCCAATAACCATGAGTTTACTATCTCGTATGGTAGGCTCGGAAAAGTTCCAACAACTCATTTGACTCTCGAAGCTTGCAAAGACATTTGGTGTGTTAAATGTCATAATTTCTACTACAGATGTAAAACTAAGGCTAATCAGAACGGAGCTGTAGTAACGAGTAGCATCTTTGAAGCAGGCCATGTTAGGCTAAACTGTCGTATGGGCCATGATTTCAAGATTTCTATTCATAGAAATCCAGACAAAGTATGGTGTTCTCATTGTAAAAAGATGCAAAAAGAAGAATTGCTCAGGCAAAAAGAAATAGAACTTGAAAGGAAGAAACAGTTGTTCAATGAACAGCAGAGAAGACTATTTAAAGAATCTAAAAACAATTTTCAAGAGCAACAGAGCCACATGAACCAGAATCAAGCCACAATTCAGGATATCCTCAGGCAAGTAGAGTTGAAAGCAAAGGCCGAGACTCAGAAGTTTATGACAGAAAACAAAACTGAATTGAATGAATCAAAAGTATTTAATGTTTACAAAACCATTTACATACCAAGTGAGATCTTGCAGGCTTCTCTCCAGTCTTTGGGGGGACACCTCAATTCTTGCTTCAGAAAGATGGCTGTTTTGCTCCACCCAGACAAGAACAGTCATCCGCTCTCTAACAGAGCATTTCAAAAACTGTCTCAGGCATACATTTTTTGCCAAGAAAAGAGATAGTTCTCCTTCATAACCCATTCATGAGGGTCCCACAATATTCACCTTGTAATAGAATAAAAATTAGCCAATAAAATTAAGTTCTGAAGGGGTTTTGGGGTTTTGGGGTTTTGGGGTTTTGGGGTTTTGGGG